AATATTACATTGGATGTATAGTTTTTTCTGTATGCAATCATTTGTCCAAGCGGCAACTATTGTTGCCGGTGGGCACATACCTTGTCAGTAGATAATAATGTTAGCTAACATTACCAACATTACAAAGGGCTAATATTTGGTAACAGTACAGTTTTTGATAGTGTTAGCTTTAACATTTGGTAACCAACATTACTAGTGTTTGGTAGCTAGTGCTAACTAACTACCTAGCTAACTAACTAGCTAGCTATTAGCGCTGCCAATGTTAGCGCTGACTATGTTGCACTGTGTGGTAGATTAGAAGGACTGAATGATGTCAAATACAGGGAGAACATCTTTAACACTATTGTAAATGAACAGGGATATAGAATTGGAATTGTTTGGTAAAAAATATCCATTTCAAATTGCGTTAATTTCACAAAATGGTGGCCCCCAATGGCCATGGGAGCAAACTCTTTTGTGTTTTCCACAGAGATAAACCAGGAGGATTAGAGAGGTATACTTTGGCAGAGGTTTTGGACATCCTTGATGCAGATGATCCCTCTGCAAAAATCACAAGCATTTCAGTTGTGCCAGAGTCTGAGAATAATGCCCGCGAAACAGAATGTGACAGCGATTTTTCTGATAATAATGATGTGACCTCTGATCCCAAACGCCTACCATCTAGGCTGGTCAAAGGAGACTGCTTTGTGTCTGATGGTGACATGCAACTACCCATCATTGATGATGGACAAGAACCTGAGTAGCTATGTTTCCATCCAAAAGTGATTTGAATCATTGGGAAATGCGCATTAAAAGAAATACGAATCCTGTGTGTTTCCATTAAATGTACGGACTTTGGTGAAAACTACGAACTCGCACAAGTTTTCCGCAGAACCAAAAACAAAACAAGTCTTGCATTCTTCTTCTTCTTCTACATTTTTTGGTGGTTGGCAACCAGCTTGTAAATGCATTACTGCCTTATTAAGGCTAGAAATGTTCTTATTTTGTCCTCCGTCCACACAAGTCTTGTGTTGTTGTTTTCCGCAATGTTTTTGCCTTGTGAGTGAACCAGAAACACCGGAAGCAGTTGGGATGAAAGTGCACTATGTCAGACTTAATTCGAACATAACTTTTTCCATCCTCCGTTTTGCGAATCAAATTTTTTTTCTCATCAACCAAAACCCGGCTATATCGAGTGTATTTTAGTTTGTGCAAATCAAAGGATTTTAATTCGAATTTTGGCGTTTCCAAGTTTTTTGATGACAAAATTCATGAATTAAATTGTTCTCAGACTTGTTTTAAATAAAAAAAGTCTTTCTCAATGAAGACAGCTGAATTACATGTTGTTCTTTGTGCTCTAATTCACTTTTCACCATTAGAGGGGTAGATACAAGGTATGTGCCCACCGGCAACCATAGTTGCCGAACATTCAAATGAGATTTTCTAGAACAGAGAGCACAAAATAGGGGAAATAACTTTAGAACATGTTCATATGGGACTCAGTTAACATGATTATATGCATAAAAACATTGAGAAAAATTTGGGCACAAATGGGTTAAGACATAGGTGCTATAAACTCTTGCAAAATACATTCTATCAAGTACTACTGAATGAATAGTCGAATGTTTGGGGAAATGGCTTTCTTGCCGAGAGTTAGGCGGGAAGATATCACTCTCATGCCTCTAGGCTACGCTAAATATGAAGCTAGAGCTAGCTTAACGTGGCATAAAGACTGGAAACAGGGAAAAAACACGAAACATCATGTTAAATAGTGAGCTTTAGAGGTACTGGTAGTTTTTAACTTTGAGCAGAGCTTCAAGTTGTTATGCTATCCATCCATCCATCCATCCATCCATCTATTTTTAAACACTGGGTTGCGGGGGCAGCAGGCTGAGCAAAGTGTTCCAGACACAGCTCTCCCCAGCAATGTTTTCCTGCTCCTCCTGGGGGATCCTGAGGTGTTCCCAGGCCAGACAAGATATGTAATCCCTCCAGCGTGTTCTGGGTCTGCCCCAGGTCCTCCTAATGGTTGGACATGCCTGGAACACCTTGTGTGTTGTGCAGGGTGTAGGGTGCCTAAGAGGCATCCTAATCAGATGCCTGAACCACCTCAACTAGCCCCTTTTGACGTGAAAGAGCAGCAGCTCTACTCCAAGCTCCCTCTGGATGTCTGAGCTGTTGTTATGCTAAGCTAAGCTAAGCTAATTGCCTGCTTGCTCAGTCTTCATGGTAAGTGTCCAGACATGAGTGCTATCAATTGTACCATTTAACTCTTGAAAAGAAAGCAAGCAAAAACATATTTGTGGGGGATTTTTTTTTTTTTTTTTTTTTTTTTTAAAGGCCAGTTTCATTTTGAATGACAATACTAGCCCCCTGTTTAGCTTTCTTTGTGTTTCAACTTTTCAGTTTTATATTAATTAATGCCTAAAGTATATGATCCATTTTGAATTTTGGTGTCAAAGTCCTGCATAGCCCTTATGTACCTGCAGGTACTTGGCAGGTCACTCACAAAAAAGGTGATTTGTGGGAGGTCATTTTATTTTTGGTTCTGAATAAAAAAAGAACATGTGAGTTGGACCGTGGGTGTTGGATGATAAAATTATTAAAACAAAATACGAATACTAATTTTGTAACATAAAAAAGGTTTTAATTCTCTGACTGCTGACTGTGTGTGTCAGCTCTGTCTTCTGCTCTGACTGGAATATGAAAGCTGCTTCAGTCATGTGTTACCGACAGGCAAATTATATGAGGAGATGTGCTGCTCAATATTATGAGAATAAGCAACAGGAGCCCATTGCACAAAACACATTAAGTTTTCTCCTTAAAGTGATAGTTCAGGTTTTTGGACATGAAGTTGTGTGAAACTCTGACCATCTGTAGCTCTGATGTGACGGTGTCACTACTCTCAACGAGCCTCCTGCTCTGAGAAATCGCCCTTAGCTTACTGGAGAAAAAGTAGTTCTGAAGATGTACGGGGGACACGTAACCAAAAGGTTTTAAGCTACAAAAAAGTATGCATGTGTTTTGTTAGACTATTTCAATAATTTTAAAACATCCCCGCATTACGTCAGACCTTGCTATCAATTGGGACTATTTTCTGGCCAGTATCACCGGGTTACGGGTTACATCTGTAACAGGAAACCGATGGAATTGGGAGCCGGCGATGTTTTTATTCCCACAGCTGGGTAAATCACAAGTTCGCACCATTTTGGTATTCCTCTGTTTACCTACAGCAGCTGACGAGGGTGCGTTGTGAGCCTGAGCCGGTGTTCGCGCTGTAGTAGTAGGTATATATAGGGCTAGTACATCTTTTTCCTCACTAATAATAGCCTACTGGTTCTCTGTTGGAAACAGCCGATGAAGTTTTCATTAGCCGTTGCTATCCTGCGCACCTGCACGGCGTGGTGATGAACTGTCTGATTGATTTCTGTTGGCGTGCTGTCTTGCAGGCCTGCACGGCGGAGTGATACTGGCCAGAAAATAGTCCCAATTGATAGCAAGGTCTGACGTAATGCGGGGGGGTTTAAAATTATTAAAATAGTCTAACAAAACACATGCATACTTTTTTGTAGCTTAAAACCTTTTGGTTACGTGTTCCCCGTACATCTTCAGAACTACTTTTTCTCCGGTAAGCTACGGGTCGTTTCTCAGAGCAGGAGGCTCGTTGAGAGTAGTGACACCGTCACATCAGAGCTACAGATGGTCAGCGTTTCACACAACTTCATGTCCAAAAACCTGAACTATCACTTTAAGTACGACGCTAAAGACTTATTTTTTAATAAGCTGAGGGACTCCCTTAAAGGTGTTGCACAGAGTCAAAATGTTAAGGCATTTACCGCATTGAAAGATTTTACAGTGGTAAAGTACTACAGTTTCCATGATAACCATTTGTTTGCTTGCGCTCAAGCTTGTGATCCCTTAAGTCTTTGTGCAATGGTTTAACTATCTTTAAGGGATTCCTTAAGTATAAGACCAAGATAGGAAGAAAACCCTGAATAGTTATACATTTTAGTAAACATTTTAAGGAAATTTGGGGGGAAAAGATGCACCTGATATTATTCTAAGAAAGCCTTAACATTGGTTTTAAGGAAAATCTTAACTTAACGTGTACTATATTTCCTGAATTACCTTTGTTTTAAAATATATTATCTTAGTTTTATGACATTCAAAAGCAGATCCTGATATCAGACTCATAGAGGAATGGTGTGTACTGTATCATTTAAAATAAACATTTAGACAGCACTAACTGGCATTAACAGTTTGTACACTGTTGTGTTTACAACTTTTTGTAAATGAGAAACGTTGGTAAAGGAAAATTTGGTTTTGATAATTTTCGATATTACTATTATCACTGTAGTTGTTGTTGTTCAGTGTGTTCCTCAATAATGTAGTATTTCATGTTAAGAAGGTTTTGGAATCACTGTTTTATAATGTTCTTTTTTAGCTTTTTGTAAAACCAAATGTCTCACATTTGTAAGCCCAATGCTGAACTTGGAAATAAATGAATACATTTCAAAAGAAAAAAGATGTTCCTGTTTCAGCATGACAATGCCTCAGTACACAAAGCCAGCTCTATAAAGAGATGCTGTTTTCTATGCTGTTTTTAATTTGGTGTGGAGGAACTGACTGGCTGGCACAGCACTCTGACCTCAACCCAGTCCAACACCTGCGGGATGAATTGTAACACAGACTGTGAGCCAGGCCTTATCACCCAACATCGTGTTGACCTCATTAATGCTCATGTGGCTGAATGGGAGCGCATCCCTGCAGCCAGGTTCTAGCGTCTGGTGAAAAGCATGAAACCAGTAGATTCAGGCTGTCACAGCAGCAGATTAATGCCCATGGTTTTGGAATTATGTGTTTAACAATTACACTGTAGTGTTTGGGTGTCAGCATACTTTTGGCTGTTTTGTGTTGGTCTTTAAAACACTTTGGCAATGAGGAACGTCTGTTTTCTGTTGTGGTTAACTGACCTGGTCCTAGATGACTGAAAGTATCTCGTGTTCTCTCTCCTCTGGCAGGTATCTGGATCAAACCCAGCCGAACATCCAGGATGAGGGAGAAGAGGGCAGACTTTGTGGCAGGATGCCTGGGAGGAAGGGTAATCGCGGCTGGTGGTCTAGGTCGGCACCTCAATTCCTTTCCCCTTTTCAGTGTGTTCTTTTCTGTCCATTAAATACAGCACTGGGCTTTGACCCAACAAGGAAAGAAAGGGAGGACAGGCCATTCCAGGACATCCTGTGATTGATTTCCAATGTTGCAGCACCTTTCGTCTGTTAAAGGGCCAGTGTGTAAAATGGGTTGAAAACCGTTGGAAACAGTGACATCAGTGGTCAAATTCTAGATTGCAGGGCTCACTCGCTCACCCCTCCCGTCGGGTAAATGACGGTGGCCTCGTAGGGACAAAAAGCCTTGCGCACGAGTTTTTCAGGAGTAGGTCTATCTAGCGACGAGGTGAATGTTTATTTAGAAATCTAAACCATGTTACGATATTGTAATGAATCCCTCACGAGCAGGAGACCAGAGGAGCGTTCGGGAAAAAGGCCCGTTTATTTGAGCACTCCAGAAACTCCGGTAACACTCCAGGGGGTAAAAGACTCCGTCCCAAACTCTGACTCTTCTAGCGTAACAGACACACTTCATAACTTTACACACATACTCGTTTACCATACTGAGTGGGGACCCCCCTCCCCTCTCTGCTCCACCAATCTCCAGCCCGCACACTGACTGACAGCGTAGCCGGTAAACAGAGCTCAGCTGTTTATTTAGCCTAGCAATATCTCCGGACTATAGTAGCTGCAATGGACGACTTTGAACGCGATTTTGAAGAGTTTCTTGTAGCGGACACAGACCCAGAGCCATACCTGTTTGAGCCGGAGCATACAGATGAGGAACTCCATGTGTTTGATGCTGAGCGGGCGAGAAGAGAGGCTGAATGCACAGAATGGGATTCGGTGCTACTGCTGCCATCATTGGGGAGATATATCACCAGGAGGAAAAGCGCCGCAGAGAGTGCATCACAAGGAGTGAAGTTGCGTCTTCTTTTCCTTGCAGATGACGGTTCGGGTTCATTCTCTCCTGTTGCGTGGTAAGTGTGGTCCATTCGCAAACTTTATAACTAAAAAAACTTTTCACTACTCTCTATCGACGAACCACTAACACTCTGCTGTTTCCTCCTCCTTCTTCCTTCCTTCCGCTGTCTTCATTGGTTCATTTATACACGCAAAACGCGTTCTCTGGCTGGCTGGATTGTCCGCTCGGTCTGCCGTACATACATGGCGGCGCAAGATGGCGACCTCTCTAAAGCAAGGCCCTTGATATATATATATATATGAAAGCATAATTATAAGGCTACGAAAACCAAACGAATTTTATTTTATAGCAATCATACACTTGTATAAACATATTAATGGGTAGAATATTCAGATTCAGATTCAGATTGACAATAAACCATGCCAAATATTACACACTGGCCCTTTAATGGACATAACTGAAAATGTCTCTACCCTGGTGTGTAGGTTAGAGATAACCTATTTATCCGTGACAGACAAATGGTAGGCTTTTTTGGGGGTATTTAATGATTGAAAATTCAGTTCTCTTGATTTCAATCACACAAATGCTTTTACATTTTACACTCTTCTGCGTACATGATGTATTAGACGCTAATGATTAAAGTCATCTAATCAGTGTTCACGTGAAGTGTTTCTCCGCAGCTGAAGTACAACACAACAACTCATAACTTCTGACTGAGGTGTTTGGTTTGAAGGAAAAAGCTCTAGAATTATATCTATTAGAATTATTATACTATACCTCTTCCTGTTTCATCTCTACTCTGGTGGAAAGTAAAAAGAAATGGTCACAATCAGTGTAGCAGAGGCCAAGATATCCTGATGATCCTCCTGACAGTCCACTACAACCTGCAGGTGAGGGTCATGTGACAAAGCCGAAGAAGTCAGAAGGCTACTTTTCCGTCATTTTCCATTCATGCTAGCTCAAGAAGGAAAACAGTGAGGAGGCGCACGCAAAATTATTGAAAAAATTAGTAAAACCTTCCCCAGCAAAGAGGATATCTGTTGTGTTTTCTAATGTTTCCCCTCTATTAGGTTTTATTATTTTATTTGAACTAATGCATTTTTTAAATATATCTTAAAGTTAACCAGATTTTGACAAACCAGATTTAAAGATCCCCTCAAAATTTTCACAATTCCATTACTGCAGAATTTTCCTTTGATTTATATGTTGATTTAAGACTTCGAGCTGCTCTTTTCAGAATGTGTGAAATATTAGTTAAGGAATTGCAGCTAAACTTTTGTCACCTTGGCCGTTGGTCACCACTTCAGGTCCTATCCCTTTAAAAAATGTGTCCAACTTTGTGAGTTAGCACTAGCTAGCTAGATGCTACCAAGCAAGCAAGCCAGCTTAGCTAACTTTCAGGAGCAGAGCAGCTTTGTTACACGTACAGACCATTACTCGTCAACCCTGTCAGCTTATGACATAGGCTATCTAATGAAGTTTTGACTGGCAGAGAATTAGAAAGACGGGCATGGCTAATAACATTTTGATGTTATATATTACTATAAATTTATAATGAACATAATAATACAATGATATAATAAAAAATAATTTGATTTTTTTTTTTTTTCGTAATTTTCCCTCATCTTACCTGCAATTTGCAGAGGCCCACATGGGGAAACCCAAGGGGGCCACCACTTTGAAAATGTATGCATTATGCAAAGGTTTTTTACAGGCTGAGTAATCCTCAAGACAAATAAACTGATCATAATGTGCAAAATCCGTGGATTGCCGGTTTAAATTAAATAACCCTTATGAATTTGTATAATGACACTCCTACGACACAAAACCAAAGCGGAAACCATTACCTGCAAATATGTGTCAGAATTACCACAGTAATAACTACCATTGCAATAGGTATCTCAAAATATTTTCTCTGTTAATGTTTTATGTTGATTGAAGATTTCACCCTAATGCAGCTGGGTTCATCTGATAATAAAATACCTGATCAGACAGCTGAAATCAAACACCACAAATATGATTTATCATAAGCACCACATTCCATACACGCTCACACACACACGCGCGCACGCACGCACGCACGCACACACACAGACACACATGCACACACACACACAACCAAATTAATTTTCCATTAACTTTTCATTTTCTCCTTGGCTGAGCTGCATTTGTTAAAGTAAATAAAGTGTGAAGAGAGACTGAGCAATGCAAATTAAATCAGAGGTCAGCTTTGGTCCTTGATGACATGCTTGTTAGGCAGATAGGCTACTGACTCTTTTATCTATGCACCTGCATGCATCAGCAACACACACGTATACTTATACACACATTTATATACACAGACATACACACACTGGTGTGGTAGTTACACAATCAAATCTACAAACAGATTAAAAAGCCATGTAGTCCTGCAAGAATGTGTCTCTGTACATACACAAACGAGACCCATACTAGATGAAAAACAGACTGAATGAAGTTATCTTAATCACAGTTGGTACATGCTGCATTTTGTCTTCAATTAATCATCACTGCATCAATTCTGAGCTGTAGTGTCAATCAGTGAGACAGTTTCTGAGATTATTAGCAGCCCCATGATTATCTCAGTCATGGTCTTATTTCTGTTGTATTACCAGTGTTGAAAAGACATTGAAAAGGTTTTTTTTTTCTCCGTCCACAGCTCAGAGTGACAGACAATAATGTGTAAGGACATCTGTTAAGACTGTGTGTGTGTGAGAGAGAGAGGGAAAGAAAGGATAATGCCAATCTTGTCCTGCTGAGAGAGACAGTTCAATTCAGCACGCAGCAACAAAGAGTGAAATGGATGTGTGTGTGTTTGCTAACGTGAAAATGACACAGTGAGGGAGACCGAGATGAAAAGAGGTAGATATATTATATTTTTTTTCTCTGTGCGAGTGTCAGCTGCGAGTCTGGCTCATCATCTAATCCATGGGGATATTTTGGGCTTGTGAGTCATAGCTGGTAGCACATTGCCAACCCTCTGCCTTTTGACTTGGGAAATATAAAGGAAAATACAGCCACAAAGACCAAAGAGCCTCTATAATGCAGTTATACTGTATGTGCGCACACAAACACATATATAAAGGGAACAGTACAGGTTGGGTTGAAGGGTAAAAGTAGGGATGATACATTGAACAATATGACTGTGGTTAGTTTCATTTTTACCCTGGGCAAGACATGGCACTGCAATCAAACTTGATTTTCACCTAGATTGCAATTCACTTTTTTGGCAGCAGAGTTCAGCCATTTTTCAACAAGCTAGTTGTAATGTTGTTTACCAGAGGTGTCAAGTGCAACACTGTATTTCAGACTAGTTAAGTGTTGATATTGTTGAGTTTGGGAGTTTTGATGAGATACAAAGAGCCATGGACAAAGTGAAAATCCCACCTATGCCTACTAAATATAGTGGTGAGACCTGTTCCCACTGAGTTGGGTGACAGTGGCAAAAGTTAAAGTGAAAGAATGAAATTCAGCACATTTGGTGGTGCATGACTATATTCAATGTCAGGTTGCTACAGCTGACAAACGACACAAAAAACATCTCCACACTAAATATGGCAGACCACAACAACAATGCAAGATGCTTGAAACCTTATGTTAACATTATCATGTGGCAGCTAGCGTAGCGTAGCAGCAGTCACGTCAACAAGTCATCTATTCCCACCTAGAAGCTGAGTCAAATGTAGGCATTATCTGCTTCACAATGCATTGGTGAAATAAACAAGCAGTATGACTCACTATCAGAAGATCTGTCGGCGTTGAGCACCACTTGAACTTTCCCTCTGCATGCCAGGTTAGATAGCTGCTGGTGCCAATTCCCTTTTGCATTCATGCACACATCCACTTCTTGGAGTACATAATGGTCTTTTGTCCTTGATGTGGAGACACCACAAAAATCTTGCTGGCTCTTGGCCAAACTTTGGAATGATGAGTTTCCACCTCAGTGACATAATCAGCTTATAATGTCAGGCTGGTTGATGATGTAAGCCTTGCCTTAGGTCATAAACCAAGAGTTTTACTCTGTTAACTCACCGCTTTTGTAATGACTTCACTCCCACTTTTGCATATACAT